TTTTTTTTTTTTCATTCTTTTTGGCTAGAGGTTTATCAATTTTATTGATTTTCTCAAAGAACCAGCTTTTGGTTTTATTTTCTCTTGTTTTAAATTTTTATTTCATTGATTTCTGACATTATCCTTATTACTTCCTCTTTTCCTGCTTACTTTGGGTTTAATTTGCTTTTTTCTGGTTTCTTAAGGTGGAAGGTAAAATCATTGATATGAGAATTTTCTTCTATTTTAATATAGGCAACTATTGTTATAAATTTTCCTCTAGGATTGATTGTCTAATCTGTATCTAATGAATTTTAATGTATTGTGTTTTCATTTTCATTCAGGCCAATATATTTCTAATTTATTATTACTTTTTTAAATTAGAAGCATGTTGTTTAGTTTCCAGATATTTGGGGATTTTCCAGATATGTTATTGATTTCTAATTTTCTTCTTTTGCCAGAGAACATACTTTTATATGGTTTGAACCCTTTATTTATTATGACTTGCTTTACATCCCAGAATATGGTCTCCATTGGAAATGCTCTGAATGCACATGAAAACAATGTGTGTAGTGCTGTTATTGGGTGGAGTGCTCTATCAAGGTCAATTAAGTCAAGATGGTTGATAGTGTTTTTCAAGTCTTCTAAATACTTACTGATTTTCTGTCTACATGTTTTAACAATTATTGAAGGTGTTGAAAATCTAACTGTATTTGTGAGTTGGTTATTTCCCAATGTAGTTCTATTAGCCTTTTCCTCACATATTTAGAAGTTGTTACGCATATATTTAGGATTCTAATTTCCTCTTGTTGAACTGACCTCTTTATCATTATAGGCAACCATCTTAATCCTTAATCTTGGTAATATTCTCAAGCTCTCAAGCAAAATCTACTTTATTTACTACTACTATAGTACACCTGCTTTCTTTAACTTATTGTTATTATATCTTTCTCTATACTTTAAGCCTAGTGTCTTTATACCTAAAGTGGGTTTTGAGAAAATAGCATACAGTTGGGCCTTGCCTTCTTTTATTCAATGTGACAATCTCTGCCTTTTTATTGGGTGTTTAGACCATTTACAATCAATGTGATTATTGATATGGTTGAGCTTACATCTATTATCTTGCTATTTGTGTTCTTCTTTGTTCCCTTGTCCTTCCTTTTTCTTCCTCCTTTTGGATAAACTGAATACTTACTGATGATTCCACTGTATTTTGTTGTTGCATTATTAGCTAGAACACTTTTGGGGGGTGAGGAGAATTACCTTAGGGCTTATACATCTTTAACTTATCACAGTTTTCCTTCAAGTAATATTATACCACTTCATGTATAGCATGAAAATATTACCATACTATACTTCCATTTTCCCCTTCCTAAACTTTGTGTAATTGTTGTATGTTTTATTTTGAAATGTGTTATAAACTCCACGATAAATGGGTACTATTACTGTCTTCAGCAATTATCTTTTAAATAGATTTAATAACAAAAAAAGAGAGCTTTAGTATTTAGCCACATATTTACCATATTTTCACACAGTATTATTTTATATGTTTGAAAGACTTTTAAAACCATTTCTTGTAATGCAGGTCTACTGGTGATGTATTTATTCAGCTTTTGGATGTTTGAAAAAGTCTTTATTTTGCCTTTGTTGTTTGAAAAGATATTTTCACTGCATATAGAATTCTAGGCTGACAGGTTTTAGTCTTTTTCCTTTTACTATATTAAAGATGTTGCTCCACTGTCTTCTGGTTCCCATGGTTTTCAATGAGAAGTTTCCTGTCATTTTTATTTGAGCTCCTTTGTATGTGACATGTCCTTTTCCCCTATCTGGATGTGCTAAGATATTTTTTTTAAATCACTGGCTTAAAGCAATTTGATTTAAGATGTGCCTCGGTGTGATCCTTTTCATGTTTCTTGTCCTTGGAGTTCATTGAACTTCTTGGACCTGTGGGTTTGTAATTTTCATCAAATTTGAAGAACTGTTGGCCCCTGTCTCCAAATGACCTGAAGAAATATGAAAATACAAAATATTTTTTTCTTTTCCCCTTCCACCCTCACACCCATCTCTTCTCCCTTGAGGACTCCAACTGTACGTACATCAGACTGCTTGAAGTTGATTCATAGCTCACTAAAGCTCTGTCCACTTTTTTTCCAGTCATATTTCACTCTAAATAATTTGAGATAGTTTCTCCTGCTATGTTTTCAAGTTTTAAAATCTTTTCTTTTGCTGTCTAATCTACTGTTAATCTCACCCAGTGTGGGGTTTTGTTTTTTAAAATCTCAGACATTGCATATTTTCATCTCTTATATTTTCTGGTCCTTTTTATATCTTCTATAGCTCTAATTAACATGTTCAATCTTGCCTCTACTTCCGGACCACTACCTTCTTGATACATGGCATATAGTTACAATGTCCTTTTGTACAAATAATATTTCTATAATTTGTGTCATTTCTGGATCTCTTTTATCTCCTTCACTTATGGGTTTTGTAAGTTCTGGCTTTTTGCATGCCTGACAATTCTTTTTTATTGGATGCCAAACATTTTGAGTTTTTACCTTGTTGCATATGCAAAATATTTGTATACCTATAGTCTTGTACTTTGTTCTAGGAGACAGTTACACAGAAACTGTTTTAGAAACCAGAAACTTTGGAGCTTTTAGTCCAGGGTTAATGTTGCTCTCCTACTGAAGTAATACTTTTCTGACTTTCCTATCTAGTGCCCTTTGAGAATTACAAAGTTTTCCACTCTGGCAAGCAAGAACACAAACTATTAACCGCTTTGTGTGAACGTCAGTGATTATTCCCTCCGCTCCTTTCAGGTGGTTCTTCCTCCAGCCTCAGTAGCTTCGTCCCACGCAAACAGAAGTACTCAGCTGAAGTCTCAAGGGGACCCTCTCTATATCTTTATGCGTTCTTTCTGTGCAGCTCGCTCCTCTCTTGTACTCTACCCTAGGAGCTTCAACCACTTTGGCCTCTTTGGACTCCCAGGTCTGTTTCCTCAGCTCAGGGAGACCTCTGGGCTCTGCTGTGGTGCTCCCTTCCTAAGCTGCAATCTGGAATCTCTCTCCAAGCATCAGCTAGGGCCATCACAGGACTCAATTCATTTGTTTTCCTTCTCTCAGGGATCACTGCCCTGCACTGCTTGATGTCTGAAAACTGCTGTTTTATATACATTATCAGGTCTTTTAGTTTTTTTGAGTGAGATAATATTTCCAGTTTCTGTTCTGAAAGTAAATGTCAAAACAATCTTTGGAGGCAAGATCTTTATTACGATGTTATATGATTACTTTTAACAGAGGGGAGTGAAGATACCACCTCTTGGGAGGTACGGTTATGTTCTGAGAAAAACAAACAAAACAAAACTTAAACTTTCAACTCTGGAAGATCTGAGCTCAAATTCCAGTACTGCCACTTTGGGCAAATTACCAGTTCTTTCACTGGTAAAACAGAACTAATAATATCTATTATTAGGTTGTGAGGTTTGCATGAGATGTAAACAATCTGCTATATATCAGGGGCACCTCATACATTTTAGTTGCCTTATTTTCCCCCTAAAAACATAAGTATCAGAGAAGCTATCTGTTAGGGCCCTGCCTGTACTGATAAGAGTGATTCCAAGCTTTTCCCTCTCAAATATCCTCTCTGTGATAGGGAAAAAGTAATCGTAATATGCTATTAAAAAGCCAGACGCAAAGTGTAATTCTAGGAAACTGCCTGTGAATTTTTACCCTGTAAAATTAGTGGGAAGGAAGAGCCTTGAGTCCTGCCCTAACTCTGGTTCGGATTTGGCGTTTTCAAGTGTGGAACAATCCAAAATTCCAGCTCTGTCAGGAAAAAGCAGACAAATGAAACAGATGACAAATCATTTCTCTAAGACCTGAAGCCAAACTGGCTCCAATAGCTGCTGGAATGGTAATAGAAGACAATTTCCTGGAGTATTTACAAAATCATTTGTAAGGATAATATTTTCCAGACTTTTACAGGAGGACTAAGGGTAGCTTTTTAGTCTGCAGACTCCACAGAGGTAGCATATATTCAACAGGCAGCTGCTGGGACCGCCACCTCCCACTCTAACTCCTCCCTATAACCCCCATATAGAGGCCTGATTTAGGCACCGAGATGGGGATAAGCCGTGGGTTCTGCCCTTCAAATATATGCCAGAATATAAAGGAGCAACAGGTGAGTACACAGCTAATCGAAAATGGAATGTGCTCTAGGTGCAGTGTTAGCAAACTGCTTCAGAGAGACGGGGATAAAAGATCAGCCAAACTTTCAAAGAGGAGGAGACTGAATATTTCAGAACACATGCAGAAGTGGAGTAGGGGAGGAAAAGGGAACATTCTAAGTCAAGGGAGGGAGGCATACCCTGGGAAATGAATCTGAGGCCTGATCTATATAGGATTGGAATGTGTCAATTAGAAATGTTTTCAACTGCAAAGTAACAGAATCCTTGCCTAGTACAGCCTTAAGAGATGGAGGTTTGTTTGCTCAAAATGCTCAGAGGTATGTGGTTACTGGCATTGATTCGGCGGCTCGAATGGCATCTGGGAGGCAGGTTCTTTCCATTTTTCAGCTGTGACACCTTTAACGTGGTGGGTTTTCATCTTTTTACTTTTTACCTCATGTTTGCAAGACCGCTGCCACAGATCCAGATGCCATTAACTAGTGTTATGAACGAGAAAACAAAAGGAGTTGAAAAGAGCTTTCCTTTAATCAGGCAAGAAAAAAATTTCCTGAGAGGTTCCCAGATTTTCCACTACATCTTATTGGCCCAAACTGGGTCATATGACCATCTTCAGAGGAAAGGTCAGAAAAGTATCTGGATAAGAAGGAGTAACATGAAAGGCCTAGAAAAATCATGATCCATCCCCTTGGGGCTGGGCATATTGCCGCCTTAAACAAAGTAAGTGTTCTCGGCAAGGAAGAAGGATTAAACAATCATTAGATGAGCAATTAATAACTGCAATCCCATTTTTGAACTTGAATCCAAGTTCTAGTGAAACAAGAGTTCTAATGGAGGAAAAAAAAAAAAAAAAAGCCCAGATGATTCAAGTATACCTCTAGTTTTATAGATTTATTCTGCCCTCTTTGGTCTTAGGAGAACCTTACTGCTTTTCCTGAGAATGACAGCCTTCCCCAAACTGCAGACTCAGATTTAGATGCAACTGAATTCCTTCCTGTGGTTTTGCAGATTCTACTATATTACAAATTAAATTTCAAAAGGAGAAAGTGACAATTTTTATTCATATAAAACCTCCCTTAATACTTTTAACACATTTCCCACTTAACTGCTGCCTTTCTTAAGCATCACAAGGCCATTCATTCATTCATGCCACAAACACCGAATACTCTGATGAAGCAAAGTACCTCGCTAGTTAACAGCTAGTTGGACCACTGGCCTCCAGTCAGGTTTATATTCATAATAACGCTGCAGACCTGGCACCTACTTTAATAATTCTGAGAAAAAAACTCTTTCCTCCCCCTTCACACACTGCCTCTTCACCACGCCAAGTCTTGCAGGGTACAACGGTCACACAGGTCACTGGGACACGACTCTAAACACTCCCACTTTGAATGAATCCCTCTGGCTCCCTTCTGAGGGGAGAGGAGAGGAGAAGCTACCTCGTTTCCTTACAGACTCCACAACATTCCTTTAGACTCTTACCAGTCTCAACTTTCCCTGAAACAAACAGGAAAATAAGGACTTCATTTTTTCCCTGGAGAACTCAAACTGAAGAAATAAATGGCAAAGATGTGGTAGGAAAGCCCAGGCTTTCCTGGTGGTAAAGAAACAAATGGGAGGGAAGATGTAAGACGTGAAATGTGTACTTACACTCTTCTCACGCACCCCTTGTGGCACCCCATCCTATAATGACCAACAACAGGATTACTTCATGCTTTAAACCTTTTTAGACCTTGGGTACCAATCTCTCTCCACAGCCACAGGGTCCTCTTGTGGGACCAAAATCACCCAAAAAAGAAAATTCATTTAAGGGGTTACTTGATAACTAAAATAGTTTAGTAGATACTGAGGAAACAGCCCTCAGAAACTGCCTGGTCCAAATTAAACGACAGGGGAAAGTAACATTCCTGGGGGACTGCAGTCATTACAGGTCCACAGGTCCACCTGTAGAAGCCTGAAGGGATGCTGAGACCGCTATGCTGTGTGCTAGGACCAGGGAACATCCTATTACCTGCAGTCTGGGGTTTTCTGACAGGGTCAGAATGCTTTGGCAGGGGTGGAGGCAGAGGATGGGCGGGGGCGGTGGGAGTATCTCAAACTGAACACAAGACCGAACAGGCAAGCTGCAGTGGCTTGTGATCTGGAGAAGAAGTGCAAATTATGCCTCGCCTGAGGCCTCTGCTGTGGACCAGATGGTGCGCGCGTGCGTGTGTGCGTGCGTGCGTGCGTGTGTGTGTGTGTGCGTGTGTGTGTGTGTGTGTGATTACTGGGATTTTCAGGCCTGCAGAGGCTAAGGTTAAAGCCCAATGTATTATTTCACTTAGGGCACATTTGGATGAGGTAAAGGTGGAAAGAAAATAGAGAAAGCAACAGGAAATGAGTTCTTCCTCCTTCTGTGTAGCCACAGCAAAAGTCAGGTGGTGTTATGCTGTTGTTGAGAAAATACTGACTGTCCTGGATTTAAAGGTCCCACATTACAGAGGTCCATCTCCTTCCACATCTCTGCAGTTAACCTTCATTCCTTCCTGCCTAACAAGTGCAGAGCCATATCACAAGTCACCATCCTCAGAAAGGTCTACTCCATTTTCACGATCCTTCTAGGGGCCCCACCGGACCAGCTGTCACCCGAGGGAGCGATGGAGCACCCACATTCAAGGAGCATAGTTGGAACATAACACCAACCAGCAGAAGAAAGGCAAGAGGCACGGGGACGAGGAGTGCAGAGAGGTAACATGAGGCCAGACATGAAGATTCCAAGGCTGGGAAAGAGGAGAAAGGTGACAGCTGGGACTGAAGCATGAAAAGGGAGGGAGAGGCCACATCAAAGAGCAAGAAATCAGTTACCAGATATTAATTCTTTCCTCCAATTAAAAGTCACTCACTTTTCTCTCAATATAAAACAGCACATATTCTTATTCACCACAGCTGTGAGCTTCAGGCTATGCACTGTCCTGCTGCAGTCCTAGGACACGTGCTACATCACGGTCAAGCTCCTGACCCAGAAATCACACATCAATGTCAGTCTCATTTCTTTGTAGTTACCCTTTCCCTAACTATGGAAGTTTTACAAAGTCACCTGAGGCTACAGCTTGAAACAGAACACACAGCCTTAATCTTGAAGTTAAGGGAAGAGAGAAGTCCCTGGCTAGAGGGAAGTCCACACAGCCTCCGGGCCCCGGGGCACAGCTGACCTCACAGCCACCTCGGTGCCTACACTCGTTTCCTTGCCAACTCCACAGGAAGGAATTGCAGAGCCAGCTAAAGCACCAGCAGGAAAGGGCTATGAAGAGGAGGCACAGAGGTACGGCGACTGTAACAGTCTCCTGAGCATCCACAATTAAGCTAGCCTTAGCCCAGCCCCACAGAAAACAGTTATTTCTTATTGTTTTTCTTAGGTCTTCTTCTTGGTCACGCGTTTTCAGCTACCTAAATCGTCTACTGAAAATGAATACTGAAGAGATAAGCAGCGACAGGTCAAGGTGTTAGGGGAGATGATAAAGTTTATCAGATATGTTAGCAAGATCACAGTTCAGACATGAATACTTTTCTCTTTGTGGAGCCAAAAAGCATCCGTGCAAGAAGATTCTGTTGCTCTGACAAATTACTTTCTACTTATACTAGTAAAAATAAATCACAGGGAGAATTCAAGGGCTCTAAGGGCTTGGTGACTTCTGATTCAAAGGCAGCAAAAACACCAGGCCACTGCTCTCAGTGGGCACGCCCCTCTGGCCCTGCTGAGAGGCCACTTGATCCCCACTGCTAGGAGGATGTGCCATAGCAAGTGGACGAAGCTCCTTGAAGGTAAAGAAAACTGATTCTCCTTAACTAGACATTATCAGAGGACTTAGAAACTCAGGAATGTGATAACATACAAGCAGAAACAATTTTGTCAGCATTAACAACTAAATCAATTGTTAGCCTAGACAAAATCTACAAGAAGATGAATACGCAAGCTCAACAAGAACACACTGTGTGACAACTGACCGATTTGGGTTTCGTCATGAAAGACATGTTTGTTCGAGAAGAAAGTAAATTCTAAAATCTAATAAGAGCAACGAGTAAAAAGATAAAATTCTAAATTAAATAACCACTGACTAAAGAAGAAATGAAAGCAAAAAATATACTAGGTATCAACTGAGAGATGACAATGTTTACAGATCAAGAAAAGTTACAGAAGAAATCATAGAATTTATTAAAAAAAAAAAAGACAACCGAATCAAAAGGTTTTATTTCAGAAACGGGTAATAAAATGGACTAAACTATCTGATGAAAAATGGGTAAGAATCTAACAGAATTGAGACAATTTGTTATCATGCAACTTGTTTCTTCACTTGGTTGGTACTAACTGTAGGATTTTACTAATACAGGAAATAGTTAATCAATACAGGAAACAACCAAAATCCTATTAAGCACCTCAATGCACTGTTTTTCAGTCTATATAAAGACGTAGGAAATACTAAGAGGGCATAATAAGTGTTTAATATAATCAGGTCTAGTGGAAGGAAGCTTAACATAGACAGGATTTTTTCGGAGTATAAATGGACTAAAAAACATGTTTTGGAATGGACACATCTATTTGACTTTATTTATGATGCCAAGTTGCCAATCCATACCTGGTTAGTTAGAGGTAGAAACACATTCATTTTGATTGAATTCAGGAATACAAACACAGTTTCTTTGTGTTTGCTCGATACTTTGCAATCTGTCCCAATGAAATCAAATTGTCCTTTTCTGTTCACCACTGCAAACTAGTTAACTGTTCATTCCAGCTATACATTCATTGTATGACTCTGCTTCATGATGGTTATTTCATTTCATACTTTCTATAAAATAAAAGATGACTATACCTTGTGTTAAAAAAATAAATCATAGGAATGCACCTTTTGACCAGTAAAATTTCACTAAACAATCTCATCATACCTCAGTAGAATTTGTCTTTCAATTTCATAGTCTTTTAATCTGAATGAAAACAATAATTTATGGATTAAAAAGTTTTCTGTTTAACTGACGGAAAAATATTATAAACATGATTTCTGAATAGAGAAAATGAGATGCAAGTAGCAGTGCTTTCTTCACTGCTATAATACTTCATTTTTAAAAGTAAACACAGTACTAATCATCATTTTGATTCCAGTGAATAAAAACTTAAAACTGAATTAATCAATTTGGAAGTCTGAAGCCAAAAGGATCCTTTAACAGTATTGCCTAATAAATAGACAAGTCGACCCTAAAAAGCTAATCACACTGCAAAATTTTGGCCTAATTAAACTGGCTCTCGCTGATACTCTGTCTTTTTTTGTTTGGTTTCAATCTGCCATAACAACCAAGGTTAGAATTCCATGTAAACAGAAGTATACAAGGCTTGATGAAATTGAATATGGAGGATTAAGCATTTAAAAAGTCTGGGTTATAATTCTTATTGCTACACAAGTTCTACTGCATAATTAATTTACAGCAGCCTAAAACTTTTCAGCAACAAAATTATATTAAAAAAATATACCATTATCCCTATATGTTACATTAATTGTAATGTAACATATCACAACCACTTAAGCCTTGCATTAACTTAGAAAAGAATAACTTGTCCCTGAAAAACTCTAAAGAGTGATCATATTTCAATCAAAGCTGTCCTGAACTAACTCATAATCAGCAGTGACTACATTTTGTCACTTCTTTGCTCTAACATGAGTAAAAGTGACGATCATGATTTTTTGGAAAGAGGCTAGAGAACCTGCATCCAATTATGAAGTGGACTTTTAAACCTCCACTGGATTTTTAGAATGTTTTTAGTTGTCAAACATCCGTATAGGTGAAACAGCTGAGGGAACAAACTGCCAAACTTGCCCAAACTACTTTTGTTCCATAGAATTTGATCCCTTCTAAATCGACAACAGCACACAAACTTAGCTATGAAGAATTCAGCCCTTATAAATGAAGACAAACATAATAAACCTACAGGAGGTTTAAAAGTAACTTCATTTGTTTTTGAATATTCAAGTGTAATGCTTCTGTAAAAGATTAAAACGTACGTTTCAACTTTATCAGATATGTCAATTTCCATTTGCTCCTAACCTGCCACTAATACATAGGTTCACTGGGCTGCCGAAGAACCCAACTCAACTAATCATGGAGAGAGATGAAGGTATCAGTGGAAAAAGAGCACGGATACCACGGCATTTATCCCAACAGTATGATACCCGTCTTTGCATCCCTGAAGTTAAGAATGGCCACTTTCTCCGATTAATTTGCTCTATACTAAATAAAGCAGCACTGTCTGTGAAGAGTTACTCCATACCCATAACATTTCACTACTATAGTTACCAATTCAGAAGTTTAAAAAAAAAAAAAATACAGACCAAATCCATGTACCCGTGATCCTTTGTATCCTAAAATGTAGAAATATTCTTAGTTTTAACCAAGAATTAGATTGGAATGAAGTAAAACATCTTTTAAAGTAATTTTAAGTATACTCTTATTTGTTACTACATTTCTACATAGATTATTTAATATTCCTTGTGGATATAATTTAATCGATAATAATATATCATAATGTCAACCATTACAGTGATCCAGAATGAGATTCTGGCTATAGAGGGAGCTTAATTATTAAGCAACACTTTCCTGAAAAGCTTCTGTATTTCTGATTGGTAAGAAAAACAAAAAAAAAGAGCATCTCTCATTGAAATAACACTGACGTTCAAGCTCAGGCCCCCCCTTCTTTGTGTTCAACATAATTAACTCTCTAGGACAAAATCATGAAACATTAAGTCACATTAATAAGTTACGGTCATCTTCAAGAAAACTCGATGGGCAACTCTGGTGTTACAACTGTGTATCTTGGATCCAACTTAGGGATGAAATCCTGAAAGTGTTTAGATGCACCAGTACCAAAAGCATCAAGGACTTTTCGGTTCATAACGGCAAATCTGTAAAACAGAGGACACAGGGAACAAGTACTTAATGAAGTTTATAAAAGAAGATGATTCACTCCATTTGACTTATCTTTCATGGGATGGGAAGACCGAACATGCTGACATGGCAAAAGACTCAATGGCAGATTCAAAAGTCACTTTGATACTCTTCCTCGAGATTCACTGTCTCGTATTTTCTTTAAAAAGATGATAATCCCCCAAACTGAAACCCCAGAGATTACCATCATTATTTCAAACCCTTCTAGAATCCTTTCCACTAGATTGTGTCAAATACAAAAACAGGTTCATTGTGATTTTTCTGATGGATAAAATCACAAGAAGCTAAATGTATAATGAATGCGCTAACATTTACTGACAAGCAAAGGTATTAAACGTAATTCCTCTCATAATTGAAATTTTAACGTCTCACAGTCAACAGAAAATACATCCAAATGTGACTGAAGGGCAAACAGCATATAGGTTTTCAAATTTCTAACAGACACAACATAGTAAAAACACAGCCCTCATTTTATCCATCACCTAACCTAAGAGATATAAAATTTTTAAAAGACATATATTTTAGCTAATGTGCAGGATGGACCTTCTGTGTCTCTGTGCCTGATCATAAGCCTTTCTTTTCTGGGGAAGATACCCAGGTGAAATTAGTTTTGAGTTATTGGACAGTATCATTATTCCAAGAGCCAATAAATGTGATTTTCAGATCCTTCCCAAAGTATGTTCCCTTCCGAAATAATCAACTGGTTAAACTCACTGATGTGCAAAGAAACCTAAATGACAAAGAAAGAAATGATTAAATACTAATAATATAGAGGATACACAGTGTCATGGCTAAGAGGAAGAACTCTGCAGTCAGACCGCCTGGCTCATATCCTAGCTCCGCCGTCCTTTCCTAGCTCTGTGATTCTGGCAGGCGCTTAACCTCTGCGTGCACCTCAGTTTCCTCACATTGCAAAAGCAAGATATTAATAGTACCTATCTCACAGAGCTACTTTAAGGATTAAACACATATGTATGTATATGTAGGTTGTATGTGTGTATGTGTGGATCTTAAAAACATTTCTCGGACACAGTAAGCACGATACAACTGTTCGCTATTACTAATATTAATGGCAGCTGCTATTTACTGAATGCCTACTAGGTGCCTAAAGGCTGCCACAAACATCTCGATTTTCCCACAATGTATTACTGTTTCATTGAAGAGAGAAAGAAACTTGAGGCTCATGATGGTAAAGAATGTTCCCAACCGGTGACACAGCTAAGGGTATCAGAACTGCAGTCAAACCTAGGTCTGTTCAATTCCCAAGCCCATGGTCTTTCTATCAGGTCAACCTGCCTCCCAAAGAATTAGATTATAATCAGGAAATGCTAACAACAACCACAACAATAAAGAATATGATCGTAAAGGCAAAGAAAAGTGTGCTTACAAAGTCAGGCAAAAGAATATGATTATTTTTCCCAAGTGGAAATCAGTCAATTGTTCAGGCATGATTTCTAATGAATCTGTGTAATGTTTTTAATCAAAAAGAAGAGATTAAAGATTTTAAAAGTGAGACTTAAGAATGTTATATAGTAACCTATCAGCAGTTTGCAAGTCAACATATTAATCTAGAACACTTAAAATGTCTAAAATAATATAGGGAAAAAAATAGTCAAAATAATGTTCACTAAAAGAATGCCCCATGTTATTCTTATTAAATTTTAGGTCATATTTGATTTATAGCTAGATACCTACTTTACCACTGAAAGAATATTCCCTCAAGTAAATGAAAAGATTCAAAATCTTTTTTATGGAAATTGCTTTTTTTCTATGACCAGTTAAAACATCTCAGTCACTTACCTGCCCTTGGTGAGCCTTAAAAGGAACTTCCAGTAAGATGGTCGTAAGGTCTGAACTTCCATGACAGCCTAAGATTAGAATATTCAATTTGAGACTTCTTTTAGTAAACAGCAAATATTATCAGCAGTCTTAGGCAACAGAACATATTTGCCTCTATTTTTATTGCTCTCTCTATTTAACGACAGTGATGACAGTAGTGACAAAAACATGTATTAATGTTTAAGTTGATAACTCTCAAGAATCTTTGTAAATATGCCTTCAAATAGGAATATTGCTCATGGAATAATAATTGAGTTAATAGTTATTATTATTGGGAAGCGTTTACTAGGTACCCATTAGATAGCTGGCACTTCACTAGTTATAGTAAGTTTACCAACTTGGCAGCATTACTGTGAGAAACTGCAAATAAAAGCTGTCCCCCAAACTTTGCAAAAGCCCTAAGACCATTAACATCAATAACGGTGATTGCAGAATTTAAAGAGATTGAACGATGCTTCTATTAAACTAGATTCTACCCCTATCCTCACTGACTGAGTAATACTGGGGAAAAGCAATTATTCATATTTATGCCCATGGTATCTTTTTTTTGAAGTAAAATTAAGTTAGGGCATTCTAGCCAAGGTACTAGAGTGATAATTCTCCTACAAAAATTGCACTCTATTTAAACCTAAAAATTGTTGTGTTCATAAAACATGACCTAGCCCACTAAGTTAACATGTTTAATGATTTGAAACTTGCAAGCTATCTTGCTAATAATAAAACAAAAAAAGCATAAAATGTAAAAACTGGAAATGTTCCCAGGCCCTTATTTTTCCCCCATTGGTTTAATATATACACTAGAAACAGAAATAATTCTACTTCTCATTTGAAAAAGTTATACTTACTGCCTGGAAGCAAATTGCTGTAGAGATGGAATAGATGATAGTGTCTGCATGGGGAAAATAGGGAACCTTTCCTGCTTCAATACCTTTGAAATACATTGTCTGCAAAACAAGCACATAGCGCAAGATTTATAAAGAAAACAACTTTAAATAGCATTACCAATAAGGTGGAGTGATACGTTCCCTATCTACAACTATTTTTTCTACCTTTCAAAATCCTAACAATCTGTTCAGAGCTCAAATCATAGGTACTTCCCTGACATGTTAAGTGTCAGCCCTTCCCTTTCCCTCATTCACTCACCCCAAACCCCAGATGCCAGTAATAATACTTTTCTGTGAAATTCAACAGCACTTTATTTCTACCTCTTTTATGCTATTTATTCTTTACTGCTGTCTGTACAATGCCCAAGTCTTCCCTTCTCTGTTAGATCTATTCATTCATTCATTAAACATGTACTGGTGTAAACCCAATTAGCGCATAAGAAATAACTAACACACTCTAATAAGGTTACAAGATATCTATATTGATTAGATGTGTAGATCATCACATGTGTATGTATGTATTTCTATGTTTATCTCATATATATATATATATATATATATAGGCTCCCCAGAGGAGGGAGCAACTACTCTGTCTACGACAAAGGACCAAGGAGAATTTCAGAAATGACTACATTGAGTAGTGGGCATCTCAAACCATCTGCAGTGAAGAACCACTTTTTAAAAAACAAAATTTCCAACTATCATGGCCTGATGCTTTTATAATACAATAAAAATGAATTACTAGAATTGAACCAAATTTTCACTATTACATTCAAAAAACAAATTACTCCATCGAGTTGCTGTAAGGTTTCCAAATGCTTCCTCTCAATTTCTATCCTTTCCTTGTCATGAACGGGTATGGTAATGAACAGTTCACAGACCAGCACTAGTCTGCTGACCCCACTTTTAATACTGCTGCTTTCTAAGAGGCCTAACATCAACAACTAGATAAGAGACGAAAAGCAGGGGTAACAAACAGGGTGAAAATACATGACATGTATGGGGAATTTCCAGCAAATTTATATGGATGGAACAAAGGATAATTCATGGAAATGGGTTTTCTGGAACGTAGGAATGCTAAAGTGAAACAAGTAAGAAAAGTGGAAAGATGACCAAGACAGAATGGTGTTTCAATAGGATGGAGGGAGCTTTAAGAAGACATGAGTGGACCATGAAATAAAGAACATAAAATAATTTTTTTCCAAGAAAAAAGCTGTTTATACAGCTGATTTTTAATTAATATTTTGTATTAATATAGCATTTTAATATAAAATTAACTTCAATCCGTAAGATATGTACAAAGAGATTTATAATCTACTTCAGTAACAAGATAAACATGGGCCATTATTTTGAAAGTAATATGATAATATATTACAAGGTACAGATATACTGTAGTGTATTCCTGTTAACAAAAATGAAATTCAGATGTGGTAGAATGGCATCATAGAAATGTTATGTGAAACAGGTATCTCTTGATATATGGGATCATTATGTTCCTAATTATTTCCCACAATAAAACTTATCTGTTGACCTAGAGTCTAAGTTAATGAAGAGTTGGGACTGTATCCTATACTTCTATATGCTTACCAGCACCACCGCAGTAATGGGAACATAATCGATACTCAATAAATATGTCTTGGAAATAATTTTTTCCAAGAAAAAAGTTGCCTATACAGGTGATGTTTACTTAAGATGCATTATATAGTAATATAGCATTTTAATATAAAATTAACTTCAATCATAGGAAAATGATTGCCTATTACACCATAGTCATTAATTCCACAAAGGACATAGTAAGCTTATACTTCTAATTTCCTGCATTTAAAAAAAAGTTCTCATCAGCACACTTATCAGATACGATCTGTTGATGTAAGAAACAGCGACACCACTGCTCGGCTTTAAAACCTCTAGCCATTTAGAGAAACATTTTACAAACTAGATCTCAATGTTGGATGGCCCCTATGTCAAAGAATATATTTTTTGCCAGCTAGGGCAAAAAAATATACTCTCTCACTCCCCTTTTCCTCTCTGTTAGCAAGTCCTGCCAACTCTATCTCCTAACCATACACCAAATCTGTGTACTTTTCTCCATCTCTACTGCTACCATCCTGACACAAGCCACCATTTTCTGCCTGAGACTAACGGTTTTCTCCCAGATTCCAGTCTTGCCTCTAACCCATTCTGTATATAATAGCCAGAATATTCTTCTTAAAATGTGAATTAAATCACGTCATTTCCATGCTTAAAGCTCTCCAATGGCTTCCAAAGGCACTGAGAAAAAATAAATGCCTCCTCCCCTGCCTCCTTCTCTCTCCCTCTTTCTCTCGTTTGGATAAAACAAATATGTAATTTTCTTAATGTCATTAGGGACACAGATTTTTAGTGAGATAAAACTTTTTAAAATTCAAACAAGTTAAATAAAATCTATAACCTGAACTTTGAATTGAAAACATCAATGTGCTCCTAATTATCTTCTCTTTCTCTGAAAAGAAAGGGAAAATAAATAGGATGCTCTAACTCTGTTCACTGGAAAGGCCAAGAAACAATGACTAGCCTAGGAGCAAAAAACCTTTAGCACCCAAACTAAGGTTTTCTAAATACCATTTCTCACCAAAAGAAACTAGGTGCCATTGGAGAAGCCTGATTCTATGTCTGGAGCAGGAAACCACCCAGGTGAGCCTGGAATATCTTGTTTTATCACAAAGCAAGAAAACTATCAAAGATACCGGCATTACGTGAAAAAAGAAACAGGAGTCAACTTGAAGAGGCTCTCATGGCCAAAGATGGGGCACTTTGAGCATAATGACTGCAATAGGTTGAAACAAATCAAATACCTTAAACTCCATAAAGACACCTGACAACAAAGACTTACAGGTCAACTTTGCAGGATGCTAGGGACTAACTCATTCCAAACATTAGCAAATAAAGGGAAGTAATCAAGCACTTTATTATGACTTTGTGAACAGACGATCTCACAGTAACCAAACAGCTGAAAGGGAAAGTTCTTTTTTGACGAATTCCCACTAATAAATGCAGAAGAAACAATCATATTAGATTATGATGATTTTGCAACCCTCAGTGAAATAATAAACCCTGGTCATTAATGGCTGCTAAAACAATAGGGTAAAAGATGGGGAACCTTATGTTGGCTCTATCAACACAGAGCCCGCTGATCCATCTTAGCATCCCTGGTGGCGAAGTGGTTGAGAGAGAGACAGGGGCTTTCCTGGTGGCGCAGTGGTTGAGAGTCTGCCTGCCGATGCAGGGGACACGGGTTCTTGCCTCGGTCCGGGAAGATCCCACATGCCGTGGAGCGGCTGGGCCCGTGAGCCATGGCCACTGAGCCTGCGCGTCCGGAGCCTGTGCTCCGCAATGGGAGAGGCCACAACAGTGAGAGGCCCGTGTACCACAAAAAAAAAAAAAAAAAGAGAGAGACAACCCGACATTTTTGTGTTTCCTAATGTGATGTAATAGGAATTCACACACACAGTAAATGTGAAGTTTTTCTGCCACTACCATCCCCCTAAAAGAAACTGAACCTGAACTTGCTTAAGGCTCTAGATCTAATTTACAGTTTACAGACAATACATGAGTTAAAGGAACATGTTATAACACCACCAGTGAGGATGCAATCAGCAAAATCCAGAATGTGGGAAATTCCAAAGAATTAATAACCTAGATTATCAACAAATAAATGGCAAGGAAAAAAAGAAAGGGGGAAGAAAAGAAGAAAGGGTGAGGGATAACTATTATAAACTAAAAAGAGACCTTGGATCTCATCTAAAACAAAGGGATTGCAAAAGACATTTGTGAGGTAATATTGAAAATGCAAGCTCTAATTGGATAACGATAATAATAAAGAATTACCAGGTTTTTAAAATTAATGACATGCATTTTGATTATACCCTGATGGCATTCATGATTTGTTTGTTTTTAAGGAGTCCTTATTCTTTAGTTTTATTTTTTAAGGACTCTTTCTCCTCAGTTGTTTACGGATGAAGTGATTTGATCTATGGGATTTGTTTTAAAATATCTTGGTACTTGGGGGTCTGGAGCAGTATAGGTGAAAGGAGATTGGCCAAATGCTGTTAACTGTTGAAGCTGTATGATGGGGTACATGAGGGTTATCACATTATTCCTCCTATGCTTGTGTATATTTGAAAATAACACAAAGAAAAAAGAAGAAATAGGAGAACTGACTTTGTAAGTACTTTTATAGGATTAGAATTTGCTTTTGAAACTTTTACTACTAAAGCAGCTAAAAAGCTCTGTATCCTTTGGTTGTATGTGCTTAAAAATGTTTGCTTACCTCTACCAATTTGGAAGCTAAATACATGGAAATTGTTGTGCTTTTATAAAACATCATTGATATTCCCGCCAAAAATCCTGAAACAACAAATAAGGCAAAACTGATCAGAACTCAAAGTATTTCTTTGTTATTAAGTCACTCAGAAATGTTGATTCACTTAAATAGGAAAGAACTGATTTGTAGCACTGCCTTTTGTCACAACAAAATCAAGGACAGTAATATAAGTGATGACATTAAAATGGGGTGAATTCTTATTTATTATCACATATTTTTAAACTTAAAAATTGACCTTTAGAGTTAGGAACCACAGTTCTGATACACATATCACAAGAAACTACATTCTAAATTTAACTTTTAAAAACAGCAGTGGTCTTGCCAAACACAATGATCTTTTAAAATAATTTTTTAAAGGTTACTGGTACCATTTCTGATTTTAAGTGTAAATAGTCATTCATCTATTCTCCTAACAGCTCAAATTATGTTTAGTGCTGTCATCACGCTTCCCTCCATTGCTTTCATTCTATAAATGGAAAACCAAGGTGGTAGGAGGCCTGGAATACTAATAGTAGGGCTATTACTAATACATATCTGAAAAATTGTCTATTTAACTTAAGTAATACATATACTGAACTCACAGAAAATGTTTAGTTTTAATTTTTATAAAATTACTTGAGTTCCTAAAAAAATTATTATTAAAAAATACATCACTTGCCAGTGGTAAAATCAGAATATTTTAAGAAATCTAACTGCACTTCCACTAGTCACTTATATAATATTTTAAGTCGTTATGTTCTTTTGTGACACATTTTCCCTAGAATTTCTGGCCTGTAGCACGACAGATACCCAAGTTATTATATTGCCAACCCAAAACATCAGATGGCAAGAGAGCCTTGATATGTTAAACTTCACAAATACAAAATGTTTGTACTAGTGCCTTAATGGGGATTCTATTACAGAGAAAGGAAGATACAAAGAAATCAGATGAATTTGAAAACCATGTCTGCTTCATTCCTACTACTGATTGATGCAATAGTAATATATGTATTTTATCATTGCTTTACCAGCTATAATGGCATGCAGTTCATCATCCAGATTTCTGACCCAGCGCAGGAAGCAACTAGTACCCTGTATCAAGAAGAAAATACAATGACTTCAGTTGTTTCAGTTCTAGGAAAAAAATGCATGTAACATCTGTAATGGGTGAGTCATTAGCTGACCTTGGAGGCAAATTGGTGATCTTATTTAAATCAAACTGAATATATGATTGGGAAAATTATGAACAGTAACCTGTTATAACGTTACTGTTTGGATAGACCCTATTAAGAAATTATACATAAAATTTTCATTGTAATGATTTTTCAAAATGAATTCAAAAATTCTACTTTTGCTTAGATGTAGAATGCTGGGGAAAGTATCATTCCCATTCTAACAAGGAGAAAAAGCTGGATAAGCTACAACTCTGTCAAGTCAGAATCCTATAGTTAGAGAAAACATTTTTCAATATGAAGGTGAAATAAAGACTCTCTCAGAAATTTCGCACCAAGCTGGCGGGTAATCCCCATGTCGGTGTGACGTGCTAGCTCGGAAGAGTTTTCTGCTGCTGTCATGGTTCGTCTGCTAAACTGCATCGTTGCTGGGTCCCAGAACATAGAACATCGGCAAGATCGGGGACCTGCCCTGGCCCCCGTTCAGGAATGAATACAGGTATTTCCAAAGAATGACCACAACTTCTTCAGTAGAAGGTAAACAGAATTTGGCGATTATGGGTAGGAAGACCTGGTTCTCCATTCCAGAGACGAATCGACCTTTAAAGGACAGAATTAATATAGTTCTCAGTAGAGAACTCAAGGAACCTCCACAGGGAGCTCATTTTCTTGCCAAAAGTCTGGATGATGCCTTAAAACTTATTGAGCAACCAGAATTAACAAATAAAGTGGACATGGTTTGGATAGTGGGACACAGTTCCGTTTACAAGGAAGCCATGAACAGGCCAGGCCATCTTCGACTATTTGTGACAAGGATCATGCAGGAATTTGAAAGTGACACGTTTTTTCCAGAAAGTGATTTGGAAAAATATAAACTTCTCCCAGAATATCCAGGTGTTCCTTCAGATGCCCAGGAGGAGAAAGGCATATTTGAAGAATATGAAAAGAACAGTTAATATGAAAGTGTTTTCTGATCCATTTCTGATCTATTTCAAGCCTCCTCCTCCCCGCCCCCCCCAAAAAATATGTATTTTTTGTTGTAAAGACTTTTGTTGACTTTAGATCTATGGATAATTATTTCTAAGCAAAGTACCTTTATTCCCCATTAATCTTAACTAGACTGTATCAGATACCATTCGTGAAACGTTTCTTGCTGTAACTGCCTGAATGACCATCAAGGGTCAAGAATAGGTTACCAGCACCGGCCTAGGGTAGAATATCTACCAAGACAGCCCAAAGTGGGAGAGTCCCCTGGTAGCATAAGTTGAAACCAGAGCCTATAGAGCTAGGAGCTAGGCAGATGGGTCCAAAGGTCAGAAATAGATTATAAATAGAAGAGCTAGCACTCAGTTATTAAAATTAGATCAAAAGAGGGACTGTGAATTACTCTATATCACACTTGTGAAAAATATTCTGTTCACTCAGACCGGGAGTCAATAAGTTGAGAACGCCAGGATATTCCACACGGATAGTAAAGAGGCAGGTATGACACTACCTTTTCGGTGGTTAAAAGAGAAGGTCTGAGACCTTAAAAGACTTTGTTTCTGATCTTCAATGAGATTCCATGAGATGTTACAATGATAAAACAAGAAGTGGCTGCTCTTTACAAAAAAGAATAATCTAATATCAAGCATAATGGCTAAAATTAAAAATGCAAGGAGGTAATAAATTGAGAATGAATATTGCTAGAAACCAAAATTAGTAAGTTAGAAACTAAACTTCACAGAATTAAAAAATGAAAATTAAAACATGTTTTACCCATCATGTTAGCAAAGATTTAGATTAAGTATCCCCCCAAAAAAAGAGCATTTTCTGCCTTATAAATTGGGACCTTTTTAGAGTGTAAGTTAGCAATATCAATTAATATTCAAAATATTCTGGGTTTGGACCCAGAACTTGCACTTCTAGAAATTAATCCTGAACAAAGAAATGGACCCAAGAGTATTTGTTGCAACATTTTTTTTCAAACTTGGAAAGAGCCCAAATGTTGATAAATAAGAAATAACTAACCAATATGTCTATAAAATGTAACATCTGCAGCAGTTAAAAAGGACAAAGTACTGACAGAAAAACGCCAAAAATTGTTAAGCAAAAGAAGCAAATTGTGTATAATACTCAAAATGTTTAATAAATGTTAATGTGTGTGGGGGAAAAAACAAAAAAGAAGACTCTCTCAGACAGATAGAAGCTGAGAAAATGCACCACCTGCAGACCTGCATTACCAGAAATGTTAAAGGTCATCCTGCAGGCAGAAGGAACAAGATACCAGATAAGAATTTAGGTATAAAAAAAGAGATGAAGAGCTCCGGAAATGGTAAAATGAAGGTAAATTTAGAAGACATGTTTTTCTTACCTTTAATTGTTATAAAAATGAATCAACTGTCTAAAGCAGTGGTCAGAAAACTATGGCCCACTAGGCAAATCTAGCCTGCCACCTGTTTTTACATGGCTCATAAGCTAGAATATTTTTACACCTCTCAATGGATAAAAATAAAAAACAATAATATTTTGTGACGTGAAAATTATATGAAATTCTAATACAGTGTGCTAAATTTTTATTGGAATACAGCCATGCTCATTCATTTATATATTGTCTATGGCTGCTTTCACACTATAACATCAGAGCTGAATAGTTATGAGTGAAACCATATGTTCCACAAAGCTTAAAATATCTACTCTTTGGCCCTTTACAGAAAAAGTTTTCTGACTCCTGGTCCAAAACAAAAATAGCAACAGCATATTGTGGGGTTTATAACATATGAAAAGATAAATGAATTGCACAAAGGATGGGAAGGAGGAATTACAAGTATGATGTGGTAAGATTCTTACACTATACTGAAGTGATATAATATTATTTGAAAATATTGACCAAATAAATTAAAAACGTTTATTATAAATGTTAAGACAGTCACTAAATTTTAAAAAGACATATAAATAATAAGTCAATAGTGATGACAGAATATAAAAAATACAAAAAAATTAATATAAATTTAAAATACATAAAAAATACCCCCAAAATCAAGGAGACAAAAAAAAAAAGAGGAGCAAAGAAAAAAATGGAACAAATATGAAACAACTAATAAGAAAGTAGATACAAACAGATATAAACTCAACCATATCAATAACTATATTAAATGTAAAGAGTCTAAATACACCAATTAAAAGACAGTGATTACCAAACTGGATACAAAAGTAAGAACCAACTATATGTGGTCTAAAAGAAACCAACCTTTAAACTGAGGTCACGGAAAGATTAAAGAAGGAAAATATACCATCAAATATAATCAAAAGTAGCTATATTAATAGTAGACATAGTAGACTTCAGAACAAGGAATATTACCAGGATAAAGAGGAACATTACAAAATGGAAAAAGGGTCAGTTCACCAAGAAGACACAGAAGAAATAAGGTTTGTTTGCCTGACCTTCTCTTAATTACATTCTTAGGAAGATGCAAAAAATTGATAAATTTTTCAGAAATCACATATGGCTTTGGAACAGGCGGTGTGAATATTTTTTATAATAGATTTTCTGACCCAGTTGCATTTTCCTTAGTTTAATTACCATTAGTTTATATTACCTAAGCAAATAAGTAGCAAAAATGTAAACAAACAAAAAAGCCTAGGCTCTCAGATATGCTGGATGGTGGAGAATAACCAACCTGGGCTAAAAATGTTGGCAATAATCCACATATAAATATTTAAGGGTTTATCTTAAGAGTAAATACAAACTCTATGACACAAGAAATGAAAAAGAATGTGAATATAAACATATTATCACCAATATTCTGCCCTATTAACTCTTGTATATATTCAAAGATATAAGTAATGCTTCCTAGTCAAACCATATTGAAAATGTTTTCAGTGTTAGTAATATTTCATAACAAGTGATTAATTAACTATAGTTTATAGTTTGCCACTCTTTCCTTTCCATTTCAAAATACTTTCTCCACATCTACCTTTTATAGGTAAACTTTATCATAAAATGAAACACAACCATCTTATCCAAAATAATTCCAGAATTCAGTTTTTCCCAGCATTTTCTTTTAACAACTGTGTGTGTGCACATGCACACATGCATGCACATGCATACAGGTCAACCTTAGTTAACACATTTTACCTTTAAATTTTGAATATCAATTTTAGATGTTTAATAAAATGTCAGTCATGTGATTTACATATTAGTGATTCCCATTAAACAAAAGGCCATTACTTCAAACTGCAGAGTGTTACGTCACAGATGATCCCTATATATGTGTTTAGGTAGGTGCTTATTATATATGTGTGGGTACATTTATAGGAACATGCAGAAAGAGGTGGAAGAATGTTAACTTTGTTTATTTGAGAGAGTACAGTAGAAAGAGTGAGTGAGTGGGAGATGGAAAATAAGTCATTGCTTATATCAGTTACAAGAGAAAGTCCTTACTCTTTCTATCAAAGGTTGATATCAGCTAGGAGGGTCTGAAAATGTTTAAATTAATAATCAGGTAGTAAAATTATTCAGAAAAAACAAATAGATACATCACTTTTGATGTTAGAAATATCAGGAAGTTCATATTTTCTCAGTGACTACATTGTTGAAGAAAAGAAAATGAGTTTTTGAAAATCTTTAACATTCTGTATAAATGCAAATATATCTACACTTTCAAGCTTTAAGAGAATATCTCCAGCCGCTATTCCCAACATAATGTGCATATTTGGGTGATGAGATATTTACGAATACTACAGAAAGAAGTATTAAAAAAAATAACAGGGCTTCCCTGGTGGCGCAGTGGTTGAGAGTCCGCCTGCCGATGCAGGGGACACGGGTTCGTGCCCCGGTCTGGGAAAGATCCCACATGCCGCGGCGCGGCTGGGCCCGTGAGCCATGACCACTGAGCCTGCGCGCCCGGAGCCTGTGCTCCGCAACGGGAGAGGCCGCAACAGTGAGAGGCCCGCGTACGGCAAAAACAAAAAAACAAAAAAAAACAAAAAACAGATGAGTTAAGGCCGTATCTCATTTTAACAATAGCCATGTTATTTATTTCCCACTTTTCTTTCCTCTTCTGAAAGCCTTACCTTGTATATGCTAACAAAAGAGCCCAGAAAAGCTCCGAGCTGGAAGTTTTCTTTATTGTAGAAGAGAGAAAATAGCCGGGATGGCTGTGTAAACAGATGCCTAAATGCAGAGGGAATCCGGAGGCAGCACTGGATCAAGTATCCCACGCTGAACATTCTGATAAAACCCTAGAGAAAATTGGGAGGAAATTCTGATTTACAACCAAATTTTGAAGACCGATAGATATAAATTTTATTGTTGCAGAATCAAAACGGAACTAAAAGTATTAAGACAAGTTTATATCGCAGCCATTTTCAAAATTAAGTCCTAAACCTCAAACAATTTTAAAACACTTGCCTTAAAAATAAGCGTGAAATCTTGCAGCAAACATACTTTCTATGATTTACAAAGGCTTAAAAAGTCTCCCAAGCACTGGCCAAGTCTATCTATGTACCAAACTTCTACTTCTTGACATTTTGTTGACATAACTGGGATTTATAATCCCTAAACCACAAATAGTTTTAGAAGCAAAAGCACTGCAATTCCAAAAAAAATAGTTAACAAAACCAAATGCTTTGGGAAATTTTAACAGAATATGCCTCTTAATCATTAGTTTGAGCAGAGATTCTTTTGACAGAAAATAATTGTATTATCTGTTTAGACCTTTGGTGTCAACTATTTAAACGATCAAGTTTAAAGAATTTTCCAGGAAAAGAAATAATTCTATCTAGGTTTTTACTTCTGTGCTCAATGTGTCAAGCTGAAACATCTCTAGGGAATGGCAGCTTTAAGGGTAAACTAAACAAAACCCGAGAAAGCAAATTTGCCACAAATCCACATTTGCTGTCAACATTTCTCCATATTACCTGCAACTATCTACAGTGTAAAAGGGAGGAAAGGATGACTAATGTTGGTCAATTTCATTTCACTCTTTAGGAAAATGAAGTTTGATGTCACTTAATGGTGAGAGACTGAAAAATTCCAGTCATCTCGAAACAAAATGTTATCAAAAAGAATAGTATTTTATACATGATTCAGCCAATACACTGTAATACTGATCTCCCATCGTCCTCCTCTTTCACCCCCACTGGAATGGAAAAACGTCTACATTCTTAGCAGTGTTTGCTGCTAAGTTTCAAAGTTCAGGTTTGTATCTTCGGTATGGCTGCCTTCTTTTTTAAAAAAAAAAAAATTGAGTTACTATGAAGAAACATTCATTAATTTACCTGAAACTACCTAATACCTGGTTAAAACATGAAAATTAAATGGTCCAAACAATTAGCATGAATTATCCTGCATTTGCTTAACTGAAACTGCCTAGTGTTTGTTTAATGCATGAGGTGGTCACACCTGTATCTTGTCACTGATAATATCATAATATTAACCTAAGGGTTCAAAGATCACACTCATGTTCAATCATTTCACACTATTTTCAAGAGATCTATTCATCCTTCCATCAATTCACCCTTTCACGTATTCAGGAAAGATTCAGTGAATGCCTCTCATGTGCCGATCATCACACTAGATGCTGGGGATAGAGTACTGAGGACACAAAGCTCTTGCCTTCATGGAGCTTCCATGCTCATTAGAGGAAGAGAAAATCAGTAAACAAATAAACATAAAGTAATTACAGATTACAATAAGTGTTGACAAGGAAGTAATCAGGGCACTGGGAAAGAAATTAACAGGGCATCCTATATTAGACTGAGTGGTAAGGGAAGGCTACTGAGGATGTGACATTTAAATAGACACAAAAGAGAAGGAGCTGGCATGAGAAAAACATTTCGGGTAGCTTGGACAAAAAGCACAAAGCCAAAAAAGAGATTGGCAGGTATCAACAAAAAGTTCATGTGAATGGAGTATAGTGAGTTGGGGGGAATGTTAATTCATCTGAATATTCACTCAGGGGTATGATTTAACATGAGGTGTAACTGAGTGCATGGAATAATGAGGTGCACTGTCAAAATATTTTGCTATACTTGTGATATAAATTCCTCACCCACAAATCTCCAAATAATTCTACATTCATAGACATAATATTACAATGTACACATAAATTAGCAAGTTTATAGTACTGGTACACGCTTGAAAGAATGACTACATTTTTTCATAGCTCAGTAATTCTCACTAACTTTCTCGTATACTTTTTTTAAAATATCACCTCTCCTCTCCCCCAAATTTCTCAAATACCTCTAATTTAGTCAAAATGCTTTTCTTAGTTCCCCTCCTGAAGTTTCCCCCTGAACTAGAATTATGTCCAGTTGGAGGGAATAATAACCCTCTCTGGGAGCTTGTAGACTTTGAGGCAGCCGGCAACATTCTTTTTTTTTTTTTTTTTTTTTTTTGCCACTTTAAAAATGGGGCAGGAAATCAGATTTGGAAAGAGTGTGTCAGAAACTACTTCACAACTGAAAAAATACTCTACTGCTTTTACCCCTGGTTCTGTCTTTGAGTACTTTAAAGGTAAGTGTTGGCTTGGGTGCGTGCCACCAACAACACTCGGCCACAGGCATTCACATTCATAAGCACTAATGTGATACAGTCCCTCCCTTTCTAGAGGGACGGTCAGGAGGCTGTCTTTTGGGGTGCTGTACAACTCTGTTCTTCTCATCATCAATAAAGTGGGGATCAGATGTTGTAAGAAAGAACATAAATTTCTAAAGCATCAGGATTGTTAGAGCACCATCCAAAACTAGAGAACTTGTAGCAGATGGTGCCACCTGTGACAGACTAACTGCAATGAAAATTAACTTCCTTCTCAGAGTTGGTGGGATGGGGGATGGGGGGCGGTGGCAGGCATGGGATGGGGGATGGGGAGGGAGCACGGCCCTCGTACACTAATATATTAGGGAGTGGGGAATTTATGTCAGTGGGCATAACTAACTTTCTTAATGTAGAACAACTGTGGACATGCTCCAGTTACCGTCATGCCTGAAAAAATGTAACAGCTTTACAAGTCCAAAACCAAATGCCACTGTCCCAGATTGCGCAGTGTATGTGAGTGACTGCTGATCCCCTAGCACACAGCACAGTCCAGGGGCCTTGTTCTAAGATGTATTCTAATGAGGATACATTGCAAAGTACAAATTTTAATTTTAATTTGACTTTTTCTCTTTTTTGTTGTTGTTGCTTCACCTTCTACTTTGTAAGTTTTACATTTATTAAGTAAGCTAATGTAAAAATTATTTAACAAAGGATCTGGTAAGTGAATACTAAAAGCTAAATTGTTATCTATTTCTCACAAGTGTCTTATTCTTCAAGTCAAATGCAAAGAATGATAGCAATGATTGTCAACTTTTCCACTTACTTTGAAATTATGTTTTAATAAATAAGTTTTTTCTATACATATTCCCTGTGGTTATTAAAGTAGATTTTATATACTTACTTTAATGCAATAAGAGATGCAATTATCCTCATAGTGTTTGCAACATCTATGCCTTGGTCCATGCTTACATCTGAAATTAAACCAAAAAAACTAATATAATTAAAATGTGTGTGTATGTGTGCGTGTGCGTGTGTGTGTGTGTGTTAATCTGCTTAAAACTCTCTAACCAAAAAACGAGAAAACATTATCAACTCATTTCTAAATGTGTGCATCTTTTGATTTCTTAGGACATACAGAAGCAAAGATAACAGATTTTTTTTCCCTTTGCTGCTCACCATTTGACACACTGTATAAAATACGTGACTGCAGTCAAAATACTTGAATGTGGAACAGAGAAGCCATATTGGTAAATATTTGTGACTAAATATGAAAAATATGTATATGTTATCTCTACACTCTGCCAAATCTTTTGGAAGCTTTAAATCGTTTATTGTAGCGTATAATGGTCATAAATCATCCATGACGTCAGTACTTGAGCAAAAATCATAATGAGAATGTGCTCAGGTTACAGGAATTTATACTTAATTATATTTGAGAGAAAACATCTGGGAAAGAAACATGATATAGTATTAGAATTTAAATTCAGTTTTAAAATAAATATAGAAATAGAACATGCAGGAATTCAAAAGTAGGTTGTGATTTAACTGTAAACAACTTAGTCTTCCAGTGTTTAATAAACATTTCTGCTGGGAGGACTACTATTCAAGACACACTTATTTTAGTTATTTGGTATGTCTACTCCAGGACTATTTATTCACTCCAGGCGTAAAAAAGTAAGTAGAATATCTAATATGGGTTTAACTCTCCCCCTTTCTCTTTGAAGAGTTCAGTTCCAAAATAAGCAGTCTTTATAACTCTTTCAGAATACAATTAATTAATTATCTTCATGGTTGGAACACATTAACTCTTTCTTGTTTATGATAATAACTTGCAGAGTGATATCCTAGCTCTCTAATTCCATTTGCAAATTGATTATAAAGACCTTCTCCGAAATTCAATGCTGCACTGCAGCTGGAGTACACAGGCAGCTTTTCCTAGTCAAGGGTGACAGCAATAGTTCATTCCTTATGTCGTTAGAATGATATGACATATCTGGTCATGCGAAGTTGTTGAGTGATTAAAGCTAGGGGCCTGAAAAGGGGTGAATCAGAGAAGGACTGCCTTATGTAAACCATCACTCTTCATACTTCTAAGTGTCCTCTTCAAAGACATCTCTCAGCCATGGCTACCAGAACTAACACAGAAATTATTAAACTCTCTTTGCTAGTGAAGTTAAATTCTGTTATCATCTACGCTGTCATTTAATCTTTCCTAGTCTTTCATTAAAATGGCTTCCCAAGTGCTGGACTGCCTGTCTCCTATGTCATCTGCTCTGCTTCTATATTATCCTGCACCTGCTTTCATACCAATGGACCCACTGAGGCTACTCTGACAAGTTCTGCCATGGCCCGATCAGCTCTGATACCCAAGGCTTCATTCACCCCCGTCACACATTCTCTGCATTCCCCTATGATTCTTGTTGACATGATTCCCATTAACAGGATCCCCTACATCACACATTCTCTGCATTCCCCTATGATTCTTGTTGACATGATTCCCATTAACGGGATCCCCTACCACAATTATTACTGCCGTCTACCACCCCTTTCTTTCCTTTTACCTTCTTCTGTTGTGTACAGAAGAAGAGACAAAGTCTTTAAATTCAGGAAAAGTTTTGAGTACCTACTCTGTGCTCGTGTAAGTGAAGCAAACTCCTATGTTATTTCATTTAATGCACGCAACACTCCTTAGTAAAGTTAACTGATGAGGACTTTGGGATGTAGAGTGGTTAAATCACTTGTTCAAAGTCCCAAAGCCAGGAGGGGCAAAATGAGTCAAACACAGGTCTTCAGGTTTCTTAAAGGGCGTCAGCTTCCTGTAGTTGATCCCCTAACTTTCTATACTGCATTCTACACTCTCTAAAATAGCACTACAAGATTACTTTTATTGGCTGGTATTCTAACTTAAAAACTTTAAATTTATTTTCTAAAATATCTTAAATATTTGAAATGCAAATGAAGACTTATTTGTATGAAATAGACTTCTTTGTATAACATACAAATAAAGATTTCTTATTTTATTTCCAAAGCCCTAAAACTTTCCACTCTTGCAAAATATCCTTCACTTAAACTTTGCTCCTTATTGTATCTATATCTTCTTAAATCTCTCTTGGAATTTTTCTTTCTCCTTTCCACACTTGAAACATTCGATTAGCACATATTAATCTGTTTCCTGAAGTTCCCTATTCTAGCCCCCTGCAACTCTGCTTAGTTTGAAATAGAAAAGTATTTCGATTTCATGTAAAACTATTTTAAAGGCAGATAATGGTCTATAGTCCTGCTAGAAATAATAAACAACATTCACTTGCCATCGTGTGCCTTTTTATAAAACTCTATGCAGTTTCTGGTAAAAAAAAAAATTATTACCTGAAAAGAAAACAAAAATACCTTGGCATGGTACAAATGTTATATAAAATGGTGACAAAATGTGCTAAAATATCAAGATAAAGAACTCACACTGAATCCACAAGCTTCCTGACTAGAGCAATTATATTCGTTCCTCTTGGTTTTTCCTCATGTTTCTCAGTCTTTTGTTCTACTTTTGCATATGCCGCCTCTGGTGAATAAGAATGTGTGGGAATTTCTTCCTTCCCAACAATGAACCTAAAGAAAAGAGCACAATGAGAGGCATTTTTCCCCTTAAAAAAAGAAAATCAGTGAGAAAATAAACTGATTTTGTTTATATACAAATACACTGTGGACAGTACCTTATCATTTGAAATAATATTTTCCACAATTTATATAAAACTAGTCATCCTTTAAAAAATAGACTTTTGAAATCTGAATACTCAGAAAATGTTAATAGCTGTTTATTTAACAGCGCAGGCATCTTAAAATCAAATACAGCATAGCTCTTTGATGAAACACCCTTTTAACTTAGGTCACCGCTTTTTTAAGGTATTACACAACTTAAAAGTTTTTTCAAACAAAAAGGCAGATGAACTATTAACTTGGATCTACTAGTTAATGACAAAATTGCTATTATTTTCTCTAAAATGTACTAACAGTTACAATTGAATGCATTTCTCATTTTTTTACTCTAAATTTATATCTAACGTCACGTTGAGTCATAAAACAGCTGCAGTACAGTAGGTGGTCATCTATATGCACATGAGAAATAGAGGGAACTAAAGAATGAGAATCAGAAAGTGGTTAAGAGTCTGTGTGTCTTCCCCACATTATTAGAAAATCTTAAATTTGATGTTATTCTAATCTACTTACTTCTCTTTGGAAAAATCTAATATCCAGGAGAAGACACCATTCCTCTATCATCAAAACTGGACTATATTTTTCCAAAGACAATACAAAGAAAACATTACCAACCATTAGATATCACTCAATCAGTATCCTTTATCAGAGTTTTCATTTTTGCTGTTTTCACCTTCACTATAAGAGTCACTGCTCTTATAAAGAATAACTAAGCTTTCCTTAGCCAATTCTGCCTGCTGAACCTTCAGAAAATATCACAAAACATAGATAAAACAGGAGACCAATAACACTACACTAAAATTCTAGAACATGGGAACTCTGGCAAATTTAAATACTCATAAAAGAGAGAAAAATTGTTACTATCAACAAGTGCAACCCATCTCATTAGGACAAACTTGATAAAACATCTAGTTTACCAAATTGTAAGGGGCGTGCAATGAGATTGTTTGTCACCAGATGGCAGCTGTGCCTCCTTGGTAACTGCTGGTCCAAAAGAATTTGGTTCCTAATCGTGGGTGTGAATGGTGCTCTTTATAAACAAGGTAAAACTATGCTAGAACAGATACAATATCTCTCATACCTTTCCTAACACTGAAAGGAAAGTGTTGCTATTTTGGCCAGGACCTACCATTCAGATTAGAGCTCACTTCCTTGGAGAAGCTGCCCCTGCCCCAAGCTGGAGTGAGTGAGCCATCCTTCCTTTGTGCTCTCACAGCCCAGTGATCCCCCAGTACTGGAAGCACCTTTTTAGTAGTTTCCCTGCCCCACTAAACTGTGGGATCGGTGAGACTATAGATACCTTCTTTGTTATTATATCCCAGTGCCTGGCACATAATAAATATTTAGTTATTTATTATGTCGGGCACATAATAAATATTTAATTAATACCTAGCAAAGGAATATCGTAATAGTGAGCATTTTCTGAGCATTTACTACATGACAGGCACAGCACTGAGCCTTGGACAAAGATTAAATCATTTAACCCTCATAGCAAAACACTATGAAGTAGGTACCACACTTTCCATGACAGTTAACATGAAAAGGCATCTTGTCCACAGTCAAAAATATCAGTAATTATTTGAACCCAGAACTGTTTAACTCTAAGGCCTGGGGTCTTAGTCACCAAACTTTGTACATTATTAACTATGTTTTAAACTACGATGAATCAGCCTTAGTCTACCTTCAGATTCCTGCACTGGCTCTTCTCCCGTGGTTCTCTCCTTGACTCTTTCTATTCCCCTAACTTCCACTATTATCTTACAGAACTAGCAAGAGTGAATAACTATTTTTCCAGAATATTTTCCTGTAACACAGAGAAAATGTTAAGTGCAAAGAGTCCAAGTCAGCTCTTCATTATAAGTGGATTTGAAGAAAACATATGCAAATATCTGACACATTCTGAGTTTTGGCAAGGATTCTGGGAGTCTAAGGAAAGATGCAGGAACAATGGCATAGTTTTCTCTTTAGGAAAACCAACTTTTGATTTTGTTACCAACTTTAAGTTGAAACTTAATTTCAGTGAAACTTAATTCACTTAATTTAATTAATTAAACTTTAATTAATTTAATTAAGTTTAATTAATTAAACTTGATTTAAGTGAAACTTAATTCACTTAATCTGTGAATTACACAGAATCCTATGTAGCCAATGCAACAACAACAAAAAGCTATTTTCTAATAAGTTTCATGATCTTTTAATGAAAAATATGACATGAAGAAATTACTGCTGTGTGTTATGATTAGTTATCGTTACCAAAGAATTTCCACAACCAAAAATACTCTATTCAGTAATAGAGAAAGTTTAATTTCCTAATGTATGTGAAAACGTTTGGTGAAACATAAAATTCAACACTAATGCTAACCAACATCTCTACAGTATCGACCACGTGCCAATTACTGTGATAAGAGATGGGCTACGAGGTGAAAAGAAGACTCCAGTGACTCTAGTGAAGCCTATAATACAAAATGTGTTTGACAATGCATGAGTCCTGCCCTAACAAAGCCCGTAATCTGGTACCACACAATTAAGGGCTTCATTTTCCAGTAATTGTTCATGTGTAGCTTTGTCTTTCCAAGCTCCATAAACAGAGAGTTCTTGTAATCTTCTTTAATACCCCATACTGTAAGGCACATAATAGGCCCCCCAAATAGTGGCTGACTGACTGATTTTTAGGGGGAAAATTAACAAATTACTCTGTTAATGAAATGTCCACAAAGCCACTTTTGTGACTTTTAAAATTGCTTGCAACTTAAATAGTGGAGTCAATAAATATTTATTACAATTATGTACGATGATATTACTTTTTTAAAAAAACTTGTAAATTCTCTTAACATAAAGATAAATAAAATATGCAACTTACCTAAGTGCAGAGAATGTAAATCCTTTCAAACCATCTTTGCACCTAAAACAATAGAAATTTACAATGATAAAATAACTTGTTTTGAGATATAAAGTAGTAGTATTAAATAGCTATTAAATTTTTTCCTGAAAATGATTTTCTTTTAAAGGTGAAACTCTTTTAGGACGATGATCTGAGCAGCACAAATGGTCAAACAAACAACAAACAATGAACAAGCCATCTTACACAAAATGATTAAAATGATAATGCCTTCCCATGTCGTATTAACATAATTTAAGGCTCAATTCTCAGATTTGCAGGTTGAAGAGAGATTTAAAGTAAATCTTCTAAGGGATCCATGTGGACTTAAAATGAAGGCTGGGAATGGAGTATTCTTCATTCTAGCCAATCCCTGGGGGAGCAATTTGTTGCGAAGAGAAAGACCACATACACCTGCTGGGTATTATGTACAGGTCAATTCAAGGTCCTGACTTCTCCCTATTTATTAATTCAGTGGATGCAGAGCAATGTAGAGTTGGCAGGCACAAAAAGGCTTCAAGTTTAGTTAACAATTTTAACTTCTGAGTAAACCCAATCAGAACAGATAATGTAGCAAGAGGAATAGGGGGTGGAGGAGGAGAGCACAGAGAGAAGATTCCAAATATTATTGAGTGCTTACTATTGCTGGGCATTGTTTTGGCCCCTTTATATGTGTCGTCTCATTCAATTATACCACAACTCTTATGAATAGGTGTTTCTCTACTCCACAGCTGTGCAGAGGCCCCCAGATGTGGTAACTTCCCCGAGGTCACAAAATAAATAGTAGTCAGAATTCAGGAAAAACAAAAAAAGACTTCATCTGACTTAAAAGTTATGGTTTTCTCTTATACCTCCTCCTAAAACAGTGTATTCCTTTTAACTGGGGAAGACTCAAACTACATGGCAACTGGGGTAGGGGGGAGGGGGGGATTCTCACATCTGCAAAAAGTATTTAAACAAGATTTTAAAATGGGGGCGTTACTATCCTGGTCTTAATGGTCTGCTCTATAGGTATGATCAAGTTACTAGAGAATCTTTGGGTATCTAGTGTCAAAATTCCTTGGAGAAACTATAAAGATTGGTGATATAATGATGCTCTAACATATGTTAATATTAGACACTGGATATTCTCGGACAAAAAGTATAGCCTTAAATCTAACTGGACAATTCTTTCTGTATGCCTTTTATATGAAAGGTCACAAAGGAAATGAACAAAAATATAAGAAATCTATCTAAAAATTTTTAAATATACATTTTTATTGGAGGACGTATAGAATCTCAGGGAAAAACTTAATCCATGTGCACTGAGATGTTTTAAAGCACTTAAGAATTCAATTAAGCAACATAATCTACTTTGTGGTCATGTTAACAGTGAGAATGTAACCAGAGAATTTAGCTAACATACTATATAATTATCTACTCTGTATAGAATGAGGACAAAGGCAAAATAATTCATATGTTAAGCTTAAAGCGTGCATGGGAAAATTATAGCATTAAAATTCTTAAAGTTATCTGTTTCCATCTGAAGAAAGTGTTTCTCAGTAATTTAAAACCCATAACTGAGTAATTTCTAGATAGGTGGGGTGGTGAGGGGTTAGGCTGGGAGTCTATTGACTAGAAAACAGAAAGCAGATTGATTAAAAGATTATGTACAACTGGGAACAAATTTTGGCTCTGGTATGTTATTGTTAAAAGATAGCCATTTGTCTTTGTGCAATGCTGAATAGATAAAGGATTCTGACAACTTGGTCTGGTCATGATTGCATATTTGTGACCTTAAACAATAAATCTAACTGCAGACCAAACATCAAAAAGTAGCTTTCAAATATAAAAGGGCATCTACAAATGAATTTGCAATTTCATTATGATGGAAGTTTGGTTCTTTCAGCAGAACCCTGTGGGAAGCACTTCATATTGATAAAGTCTTAGCATGGATTCAAAAGGGGCTATTCTTCTTTCCATTCATGTGTATAAGGTCTGTTAATGTAATTGAGGGTCAGATGTCTATGTCAAAAGGACAAAAAAGTAATTATTCCCAGAAAAAGAATCTTTAAAATAGTAATACTGCCCTGCATTTTGACACCGAAAGTATTGTCTGAGCCCTAATCTAACTATGAAACACTATTGTAATCTGTGTTAAATGTAAAAAATATGATATAAACATAAAGATTTATACAAAACAGAGCCCATTAAAAGGTGCCTCACTATTTGATGGATTCCGTTATTATAATGTAAATCAAATCACATTCTCCATTCATGTATTAAGCCTCGCTGATTTATTCAACAAATATTGATGGAGTGCCTACTATGTGCAAGCACTGGTTTAGGTTCTAAGGATGTAACAGTGGACAATATAGAATCTCTGCTTGCATACCACTGACATTCTAGAAGGGGGAGAGATAGGATAAAAAAAAAAAAGTAAGTATGTCATGTGGTGATAACTGCTATGGAAAAAAGCAAAGCAGGACGAGGGGAGAAACAGTGATCAGGTTGGGCCTTTTGTTTGTTTGTTTTTAACATAGTGTAGTCAGGAAGGGCCTCTCTGAGAAGGTGGAATTTGGTAATTTGAACAGAAACCTTACTGAATTGAGGGAAGGGCATTTCAGTCTGAAGGAAGAGCAAGCACAAAGCCCTTGATAAGGAATCTGCATGGCACGTAAGGAGAGCAGCAAGTGCATTACTGCAGCTGGAGGGAAGCAGTGGTAGGAAATGAGGTCACAGTAATAGCTGTGGAGGGAGCCAGTGGTCTACAATTCCTGTAGGCCCTGTAGGCATGATAAGGACTTGGGAAGGTTCTCAGCAGAGAAGTGACAAGATCTGTCTTAAATTTTAAGATAATCACTTTGCTGGTTTGAAAACAGACTACAGGAGGGCAAGGTTAGAAGCAAAGAGGCTTATTAGGAGGAGAAATGACTGTGCCTGGACTAGATCACAGTGGCAGAGGTGGAGGGGAGTGGTAAGACTCTGAATGCATTTCGAAAGCAGAACTGGTGGAATTTCTTGATGGTTTGAATGTGGGGTACAAGTGAGAATTTACAAATTATTAAAATATTTTTGGTTTGAGCAAATGGAGGGATACAATATCCATTTATTAAAGTGAGAAAGACTACAAAAGAAACAGGTTTGAGGAGAAAAATCAAAGTTTTGTTTTAGATATGTTAAGCTTGAGATGCATGTGAGCTATAAATGGAAATATTAAGGAAGCAAGCAGCTGGCTATATAGATGTGGGTTCAAGGGAGACGTCTGATTCGTTTATAAGTAGTACTTAAATCCATGGGACTAGATACAATCATCTAGGAATTAAGTGTCAATAAAGAAAATAGTCAAGGACTGAGTATTTTTTATTCCATCATAACCTGTAATGCAGAAAATCTTTTCTATAAAAGAAAAAAAATAATTTCTCCTAATAAAGCCATTCTCTAATATAAAGTCTCATTTTAATTTTTGAGTGTACATAAAAATAATGCATTTAACTCATGTAGACATAAACTTTCCTATTAACGTCAGTCTATGCAAATGACATAAATAACTAGTATGACTCAATCCACAGTTACTGAATCTCTACATTTGCAACGTTCTGTGCTATGTATGATATAAAACAAAGCCAGGAGAGACAAAGAGGAAAAAGAATTTGCAGCATTATATCAAACAACTTAGCTGATAAGCAGCTAATCATAGAGAGTCAGGTTGGAATTACATATTATATACAAGAAAGTATAAAGAAGTTTAACATTATTATTAGAATAATACTCTTGGTCAATGCCAGTGGGAGAGAACCCAATAAGATAATTTTTTTTCAATTAGAAATATAAATGATAGTAAAATGAACAACTTTGCCCCAAAAGATTCTTTATCTCATTCTTAATTTCCATGAGATACTTCCACCTTTATCACAACATTGTACCAGCAGATGTCACTAGTAAGCCATTTTTGGAAAAATTTCTGGCTCTTTGATGTGGTTTCTATATCAAACATTTTGTTGCACATTTTCGTTTAAAAACAAATTCATAGGCATTCAAAATATGAATTTTGAATAAATTTTAGTTAAATTGCATTAAATTCCCCCAAGTAAATATCATAAATATGAGACTTTTAACGATAGGTGACATTCCTGTTCCTATTATTGCATATAGTTATAAAATCTCTAAGAACACCCTACCATTTGGCACCAACATAGAATTTGATGATGTAAATGTGCTGCTTTATTATATGCTTTCTAGTAACCTGAAAACTCTGAGAACTATTTTGACTCCTAAAATGTTTTTGTCTAGTCAGTTTTCATTTATTTGGTAAATATAACAGATATAAAAAATGTACTTTTATAAATCTTCTTTTACATATTTCTAAGGCAGTGCATGATGCTATGGAAAGACTCTTGATATGAACAATGAAACAGATACTAGTCATAACTTCCCTATCAACCTAGAGCAAATCACTTAATTTAAGGGCTTAATCTCACAGCCTCCTAAAAAAGAGCCTGGAAGTAAATGACCTCCATAACTGGCTTATTAAATGATTTCTAATTCTGAAATTTCATCACTTACTATAATTGTATTTAATGATACTATTATTATTTGAAATAATAATGGGAAATAAATGAATTATTCTAAATCACTCATAGATAATGATCTCACTGATGTCAAGAATTTTTTTAAAAAATAGTAACATACAAACAAAACCCTGAATTTGTTTTGAGATTACTGGCTGCTACTAATATTATTTCATTTGCTTATTGCTTTATAAAACTTAGACATGGAACTTATTCCTGGCAAAGGTTCAAAGACAGCCTTTTTCTTTTTTTTTTTTTGAAATTAAAGCCTTTCCACTTTTATTGGCATTGATAAATAATATCAATCAATTCACTGACAATACGAGTCTTTGAAATACCTTTTGCTGGGCAGGGGAATAGGACTTATTCATCTAATTAGGCACATATCTCCATTTTAGAAATAAAATACTTTGCATATATTTTTCTTTGTAATTAAATCTAAAAAAACTGTAGAATTGGGGAAAATAGCCTTTA